TCTCAGTGAAGATACAATGGAGCCACAAGCATTTTCTGCTAAAGGCAATTTGACCAGGAGAGACATATAAAAATAGAAGTCCTTGATAGGTTCTTTGAACTTTCCCTTTAAGTTCATTACCATGGAAGAGTAGTTTTACTCAATATCTGACAGCTTCTACAGCAAGAAATTAAGGTGCCACATTGTTTAAGTAAACTGATTAGGAATTGAAGGGAAGATTATTGGCACCTAAGATATCATGCTGAAAAAAAGCCAGTGAACTTGATATTTGGCTTATTACACCCCGTGCCTAGTGCTAAGCTACAGATGCAATCAGGAAAGGCTTTGGAGTTACCATGAGTGAGTCAAGATTGGCCAGAAGTACTCAGGAGAGGTGTGGGTATCACAATGCACAGACGTGCTTCACCAGGGTAAGAAATGGATAGGCTTAACCCCATCTTTTGAACACTGGGGGAATAGCCTTGCTGCATTGGGAAGCCTTGGCACGAGGAGGAATTTAGGATAACAAGATCAGGATGTGTGTAACAAGGGGACTTAATGCCAAATGTGAGTGTATAGCATTCCCTGGCAGGAGCGGGATGTGGTTCCCAGAGGGAGAGATCTAAAGTTTTAGTTATACCATGATGTGGTGATATAGTCACAAACTCTATCCATTCTACTAAAGTCTCAATCTGTGCTATCTAATATAGGGCAGATGAGATGATGTGTAAAGTGGAGGCCAACATTTTTTATGAATAGAGAAAATGCTGGTAGAGATAAAGGGAGATTCAATCCCATGAAGGCAATGGAAAGAGTTGCTGAATTTAAATGGGAGCAGGAGCATGCCTCAAGAAAAGAATTACTCTTTAACTTTAATCAAAGTTTCTTCTTTTCCTTTAAGCATGCCCCTTTTCATCCCCTGTCTCTGTTCTCGGTTATTCCAGACTTTTACATAATCAGTCCCAAGAGAAATTCCTTCACAGAACGCTGCACAGAATCAGGGCTTAATCTAACAGCATTAGGCAAATTACTTCATTTTACCTACAATTCTTCACTTGAAGGGACAAGGATTAGATGAGCTTAATTAAATTCAGAATGTGAATTAGGAACTTGTAACACAGAGTACCCCAAAGTAGCACACTGTAATCTTTATGTGCATCATTCACATATGATTGTTATATTCCATACAAAGCATTCCGTTTACAATATCAATATCAGTACACCAGTGTTCCCGCTAAACTGCGCTGCAGCACAGCTTCACAGGTGAGTAATCAGCCCCACCCAGTCAGCAGCTCAGGGCTCCATGCACAGAGCTGACTGACTGGGCGGGGCTGATTAATCACTTGTGAAGCTGTGCTGCCTTGCAGCTTAGCAGGAACACTACAGCACACAATGAGTCATTTGGAGAACTACTTACCACAACAAGTAGGGAATGTGGAGGAGGGGACTGGGACTAAACCCTACTCATCAGAGGGAGTTAAATCTGATCTATGAATTATTTTGGGGAAGGTCCATAGTTCCCTCTAAGGTGGGCACCTGTGCAGGCACACACCAACAATTTGAGCCACGTACCAGGACTGGAGCTGGGGCCACAGTGCTATTTTTACTACAGTAATCCTGTCCCCAGAAGCCACCATACAGCCCTGGCCCCAGCTGCTCCCAGGCAGCTGCCTCATGTGCTGGGACTGGAGCTGGGTTGTGGCAGAGCTGCTCCTGGGCCAGGGCCAGGGTACTAAAAATAGAACCATGACCCAACTCCAGCCTCGGCACACGGGGCAACTGCTCACCACATGGCCTAGGCCCGGGAGCAGCTGGGGCTGGGGCTGCATGGCAGCTTCTGGAGCTCGGACCATCGTACTAAGAATAGCACTGCTGCTCCAGCACATGGGGCAGCTGCCCACCATGCAGCCCAGCCCTGGGACCAGGAGGAAAGAGAGGATTTAGGGGCAGGGCCGGACTAAGGGGTGGGCTAGCCGGGCAGCTGCCCAGGGTGCCAATCTATGGGGGGCGCTCGGCTACCAGGGGGCTGCTGCGGCCGCCTGGGGTGGGGGCTGTGTTAACCTCCGCAGCACGGGCCAGCAGTGCCCTTCCCTCCGTGGTCACAGGGCCCTGCACGGCCAGGCGCAGCCCTCCCCAGCTGGCCCTGGGTTGCGCGCCATCGGTGGTGGCGGGGCCGACTGGGCACCGCATGCATCCCGGGGACGGGCCCGTGCATGCATCATGCACCCAGAGGTGGGGCCATGCATCCCGGGGGCGGGCCCATGCATGCATCATGCACCCAGAGGTGGGGGCGGCGCCATGCGCCTGGGACCGGGACGCCAAAATGGCTCGGGCCGGCCCCGTTGAGGGGTGCAGGTGTCAGGAAGGTAGAAGGTGAACAAAGGGGGCAGGAGGATAACTAAGGGGAAGGTGGGTATGAGGAGAAGAAGGGGCTTTTACGGAGAGGAGAAGAGAGGAGAGGAGAGGAGAGGAGAGGAGAGGAGAGGAGAGGAGAGGAGAGGAGAGGAGAGGAGAGGAGAGGAGAGGAGAGGAGAGGAGAGGAGAGGAGAGGAGAGGAGAGGAGAGGAGAGGAGAGGAGAGGAGAGGAGAGGAGAGGAGAGGAGAGGAGAGGAGAGGAGAGGAGAGGAGAGGAGAGGAGAGGAGAGGAGAGGAGAGGAGAGGAGAGGAGAGGAGAGGAGAGGAGAGGAGAGGAGAGGAGAGGAGAGGAGAGGAGAGGAGAGGAGAGGAGAGGAGAGGAGAGGAGAGGAGAGGAGAGGAGAGGAGAGGAGAGGAGAGGAGAGGAGAGGAGAGGAGAGGAGAGGAGAGGAGAGGAGAGGAGAGGAGAGGAGAGGAGAGGAGAGGAGAGGAGAGGAGAGGAGAGGAGAGGAGAGGAGAGGGCAAGGGCAGGAGAAGAAAGGGGAAGGCACCAAGAGGCAGGGTGGAGGAAAGACAAATGCCAGGGGGCCAAGAGGAGACAATGAGGGGAAAGGGCAGATGGAGTGGGAAGGAGGGGAGGGAACAGGTTGATGCTGGGAGAGGAATGGAGAGGGGGAGGGGCAATGGGGGAAAAGAGAAAGGAAGAGGAGAGGGGAGAAGTAGGTGCCGGGAGAGGAGGGGTTGAAACGAGGGGTGAGCATGAGGAAGGCAAGGGATGGAGCAAGTCATCTGTGGGGTTGCAGAGGGGTATGAGAACTGGGACAGAGGGTGGTGAGGGGGTGGGCACCAGGAAGGAAGAGGGCAAGGGGAGCAGGTGTTGGGAGGGCAGTGGCAACGAGGGAAGGCGGAAGCACCAGGAAAGTGCAGGGCGGAAGGGAAGGTGCAAATGCCAGGAGAACTGTGGGGGTGAAGCAGAAGGGCAGACACGGGGAGGAGCAGGGAGAGGAGGAACACAGGTGTGTAGAGCAGTGTTTCCCAATTGGTGCTCCGTGGAACCCCAGGGTTCCGCAAAGCGAAAGTAAGGGTTCCACGAGAACACGGCATTGCCCCTCTTAAAGAGACAGAGTATTTTGCAGGGTTTTTTTGCTCAACCAATTGTGGCAGGGCTTTTTTTTTTTTGCTTTTTTTTTTTTGCTTGCCAAATTTCACTCTGGGAACCCTAGGGGTTCCTTGAAATTATTTTAAGCTGAAAAGGGTTCCGTGGCACAATAAAATCAGGAAACACTGGTGTAAAGGGATGTGTTAGGAGAGGGGAAGGAGAGGAGGGCTAGAAGAGGGGTGGGCACAAGGGAGAAGGGAAGGGCAGGTGCAGGGGTTAGAGAGGATGGGGAGGGGAGCAGGTCCCAGGAGGGCTGAGGGGAGTGAGAAGGGCAGGAGCTGGGATAGCAGAGGAGGATGAGGCATGGGGATGGCAGCAGGCACCAGGGGAGCAGATGGGGTGAGGGGAGGGTGGGAGACATGGCAGCAGAGGGGAAAAGAGAGAGGTTTATAAGAAATGTGTTAATAATTTGGGTGCCACGAAGGCACACATCCAAACAAGTGCACATGACTTCAATATTGGTGCATAAGACACAACTCACTCCACTCACAGATGGAAAATCTTAGAGGGAACACTGGGAAGGTCTACGGCCTATATTATACAGAAGATCAGATTAGATGATCACAGTGGTCCCTTTGGGCCTTGGAATCTAAGAACTTATGAGCTAGGCACCTAACTCTGCAATGGAGAGAGGCACCCATCTCCTCACAGGATTCACAGCCCTGTCTGTTCTTTACGAGTTGGGTACCTAAATCACTTTGTGGCCCCTAAGCCACTTTTGAAAATGGGATGCAAACTCCTAAATTATGAAACACTTTTAACAATTTTCATCCTCACTTACTGAGGAGATGGACCTCCAAGTCCTATGCTTCTGTGATTGTAGGACAGTCTAAAGGCAAAACTCTGAGAGTAAGAGTAATTTAATTCCTTTTAACAGGAAACTGCTACACCAGCAGTTCTCAACCACTTTACCACAGTGGGCCCACATGTTCTGCTCTCTGTGTGTTATGTGGGCCACATGCACAGAAAATATTCTATCTGTATAGCCTTGAGGAGTCACAAGGGATGCAGTTATGTGATGATTTGGCTACAAACAGCCTGTGTCTTAAAAGCTCCTGATCTATACTATCTATAGCTGCTAGAGGAACTCAGCTATGGCTTCATTCTCTGCCACTTACAACGAAAGCATAGCCACTTCCTACAACAATGGAAGGAATTTGTCTGTGAAGTAGATAACTCAGCTCTCTAGGAGGTGGCAAGCAGATCAATATAAGTATTCTTCCATCAACCTAGCCTCATTTCCACCAGGGTTTAGGTCACCCTAGTTATAGAGCTCAGGGTGAAACAAAACAAAAGAGTCTTGAACGATGAAGCCTGGTTGATATAATTTTTAAATGTAAACCATGACTTGTAGGAGAGGAGCTTCCTTATTAAGTTACTTCACATAGACACTTGCCCTAATGCAACCAACTGTTCTCAAGAGCCTTTAAAAAACTCATTTAAAAGCAATTACCCATGACACCTCTATTCTAACATTTCTGAATTTAATGAGTAAAAAATATTGTACCTTTCTGAATCCATTGGGTTCTTCCAAAGATCTAGAAGTCTGTTTTTAAAAAAAGAAAAAAAAATATAAACACAAAATTCCATGAAACTGAGATTCCCATGGAGCCTATAACAGAATATTCATTTCACAGGGGGAATGTTTCTTTCAAATTTCTGGTCATCTGGATAGCCTGAAACAGCAGGTAATTGGTGTTTAATGAGTTTTTTAATGCACATCAGGAATAAAGCCCAAATGGATTTTGTTTCCTAACAATGTCAGTCAGATGCAGCGTTCCCTAAGAAATAGCTTTGATTTTACTGACACCTATTGACTAAATGTGTTCTTACACAAGGTACACAGGCAAAAATTGTACCACATAATAACTGATCTCACACTACGTCCATAATACTCCAATTAACAGAGACTGCCCATCACCTCCAGTACAAATCAAAGGATTTATATTCTAAATATATACTTTCAATTTGAAACTCACTGACAACTTCCTAGCAGAGGATAACAATTACAGATTTTCTCCCAGACCTTACGGCCAAGATTTTCAAAAATGTTAAGTCAGTTTAGGGGGCTCAATTTTCAGGTTCCCAAGTTAAGATACTTTAAAGAGGATTTACTGCACAAAGTGCCAAGAACCCACAATCTGAAAATGAGACTTAAAAATTTAGTCCAAAATCACTAGGCACTTTGAAAAATCATGACTTAACTAGGAAAATGTATGTAAAACTGCAAATATCTGTATCATTATTTACAATATTTGTTACTGGATAAGCTATTCACAATGCTTTTATGTACAACTCTCTTATTAAAGCTTTATTTTTACTCAGATCTATACTTTGGTTCTCACATTAAAATCCATTACAATTATCCAAGACTTCATCTCTTTTAATCATTTCAACGACCTAGCCCGCGAAGAGAATGCTGTAAAGAAATTGGCACCTTCTGTGGTCTGTTCTGTTCTGGATTATACTGATCACATTGATTCACATAGCACAACAGACCGGAAGACAGTTATTCAAAGAGAGTTCTGTGGGTATATAAACTTGTTACAGTAAGGCTACGTCTAGACTGTAAGCCTCTTTCGAAAGAGGCTTTTTCGAAAGATACTTTCGAAAAAGCCTCTTTCAAAAAAGAGCGTCTAGACTGCAACCAGTACTTCCGAAAAAGCAAGCCGCTTTTTCAAAAGAGAGCACCCAGGCAGTCTGGATGCTCTCTTTCGAAAAAGCACAGTTTGCATTACATAGCGCCTTTTTTCGAAAGAGCACTGGTGATGCAGGTGAAAGAGACGCAGGTGAAGTATTTTTGAAAAAAGGCTACTTTTTTCTAAAAAAACCCCTGCAGTCTAGACACAGCCTAATTGTGCAAAAGAACATTCTGTGAAGGAGCGAAGCAGCAGGCAGAAAACCCCTACTTGGAATTTTCCCGTTACATGTCTAAGACAAAGTTATATATTACACCCACCGACAAGGCATGAGAACCCAGGGACTAGAACCCAGGTTTGAAGAAACAAGTACAGCTGATATTTCCAAAGTAGTACTGGCAGGCCATATAGTGGCACAAAATGTTATCTAAGACACTCTGAGTGATAGTACCCGATGGTACTCTGACCGGCTACTTAATCCCAGGGGTTGTCCAGGCAATGACATAGATTTCAGTCTGCTGCAGTGTCAGACTTCACCTCTTCTCCTGATATCTGATCTCTAACTCCAATCTGACTTCGACTGATTCCTGCCTCGGAGTTCTAACCAGGTTCTGGCTCTAATCTCTAATCTCCAATCCTGGCCTGAGTCTGACCTTGACTCTTATTTATAGGACCTAGGCTTGCAATTCCTGCAACTCCAGCCCAGTGACTCCTGTTCCTGGTGGGCAGACCTCATCCCAGCTGTGACCACTAAGCAAGACCACCCACGCGCCCATTCCTTACATATAAATGTTGGAAAGATCATCACTATTGGGCCAAATCTGAGGTCTTTTCCCAAGAAGAAAAATATAAGTGATGCTTGTGCAGAGGCAAAGAGGTTTTCTAATTGAACACTGAAAGTGTGTGTCTTTATAGAAATATTCAGTTGGCTTCCATGGGACTACCCATATGTTTAAAGGTAAGCACATGCTTATATCCTTCCTGGACTGTCAGAAAGCAGTGGTTACTTACAAGAATCATGGAAAAGTACCTTAGTGTCTTTAGTGCTAACAACTCCAGTGACTGTTCACCTACCAATGAGCTGGTGGAGTCTTTGAGTTTAGATTTGTAAAGCATCCATCGATAACGCAGGTCCTCCACATCTTCAGAGGTCCCAACAACTCTCTGAAGAGTACGGAGATCTTCAAAAAGACGCTGCCCCTCAGGAACACGAGACTGCAGTTTCTTCAGGAAAAGACAAGGACATCAGCAACATGGCATTCAGATGAATCACTGCTTTGCCGAAACTAGAGATTGTCATTTAAAGGGACATTAGCATTGCATCCAGTTGTTGGGAACACTGCATTAATGTTTACACATTTATTTGTATTTTGTCTCCACATATCCATTTCAGATGGTCAATCTTCCTGGTAACATAGACATGTCCTAAAATAGTCAGAGATGCAAGCCCATGCTGCATATGCCCATAAAGCTGTCATTGCCACAAGCTGGGATTTGACGACAGGGGATGGGGATCATTTGATAATTGTTTTGTTCGGTTCATTCCCTCTGGAGCATATAGCACTGGCCACTGCCAGACGACAGAATACTGGACTAGATGGACCACTGGCATGACCCTGAATGGCCATTCTTATGTTCATCTCCCAACACCACTCACTATTCCCAAAAAATTAGTGTTTGAAGACCAACCTTCAACTTGCTTTGTTTTGCTTTAACTTCTTCACTGTTGGAGGGTTTTGTTAAAAGAATCTTGCTCAATGTAGCATTTTCTACCCGTAACCACTGTTCAAAGTCCTTTATGAGTTTAAGGAGGTGACTGCTCTCTTCTTCTTTGCTTACATTCTCCTGTGTTACAGAACAAAAACCAAAAAAGGGGTTTTTTTCATAAGAAACACATTAATTATTATTATTTCCTTCAGTAGCCCCACAGCTGAAGTCAATAGCAAAATTCACATTGACTCTAATGGGGTATCACCAGGGTCCAGATTAGAGATATGAAATCCTGGTTAAAAAGTGAACTGGTTAAATGGAAAGTTTAGCCAGTTAACTGTGATCCCACAGGCAGGGTGGCTGCTCTAGCCCAGCTGGGCCCACTGCACCATAGGCTGCCCCAGTCAGGTCAGGCCAATCCCACTGCACTGTGGGCAGAAGCTGTTCCAGCCATGCCAGAATGAACCCACCGCACCGTACCATGTCACGTGCAGGGGAACCACTTCAGCCAGGCCAGGCCTGGCCAGAGCAGGCCCCCCCACCGCTTAACCTATTACCTCGGTAAGCATGCCAATAGAGTGCATGCTTACCGGATAACTGGTTAACCGTTTGCATCCCTAGTCTAGATTTGGTCTCTCTTGCCTCATCTTAATTGAGGCCAAATTCTATGAAGTTCTGAATGCCTCCTGAGAGGTGCTTCTCTTTCTCAACTTCCACTGAAGTCTCAAATCCCACAGGCTCTCACTATGAGGAAAAAAGTTTAGATTTGAATTTTCTATGTGGACAAAAATCTCCTATGATTTTATAAGAGTTTTCTAGGACAACAGAATTGGAAATGGAGCAGGATGCACCATCCACCTGTGATTCAAGTTATAAATAACTGGTCACAGGAAGAAGATGGAGGGCCAGATCCCTAGCTGCGGTAAACCAGTTGTACAGGAACTATACTGATTTACATCATCCGACACTCTGGCTCTAGGTTTACTCTATTGAAATTTGACAGTGGAATGAGGAATTTAGCAAAACACAGAACGTTCACAATTTTTCCATAACTCCCAGTCTGGCATAATTCTATTCCTTACAAGGGTTTCTACTATAACACGTGCTGTCTCATACTCAAAACAGTGCATGTGATTTTGGCTGAGTGACTTGTACTGATCTGTAGGGGAATCATGAAACTATGCCCCTGCACCAACTGTTGCAAATTGAAGCTGTCTGTAAGGATCACAGTCTTAATCCTGACATATCAGAGGACGTTGTAAATTGCACGGTTTTAGATATAGTATCCAACAGAGCCACAGGGAAACTGTCTTTGTGACATTATGATGGAATGCGGATATACACTGCTTCTCTCACCTGCGAGCGCTTGACAGTTACCTCTAAAGAGTGGAAGGCGAATTCAGGCATCAATGTATTTCCCACAATGTTTATATTCTTCCCTGTATCAACCACTGTTGCATTTGGCTGCATGTTACCGAGGAGGCTTGAAAATACAAAATCAGACAAGTCAATGCACTGATGCATCTCACAACTGACACATCCATGTACAGGGGAAGAGGTGGGGAACCAAGCCAATATATCTATGCTGCAATAACCTATGATTACAATTATTTCCTTACTAATAATATAACAAATCAGCAGTGTCACAAAGTATGAGTAGTACTTGGTGCTAGTACTGACTTGTAGCTCTTTACAAGTTATTGGAACTATACTCCTCTCTGCACAAACAACACTACCGATAGGCTGAAGTATTCAAGCCTGTCTGTGTATTTCTTTGTCATGCTCCCCCCTTGCACCATCTTAAGCCCCCGTCTCTACAGTGCTTTCAAGCCCTTGGGAAGAAAAGGAAAAGGCCTCGGACTTGCTGAGATGGGGTGGTGAGGGATCCACCGGGATGGGGGTCCAGGATCTGCTACAGCCACATGGCGGGGGCGGGGAGGAGGGCTGATCCAGTGGCTGGAGCTGCCACATGGCAGGCGGGAGGCCAGGGCCTGTTCTGGTAGCTGGTGCCAGGAACAGGACCTGCTGCATGGTGGTGGTGGTGGTGGTATGGGTCTGCTCTGGTGGCTAGGAATGGGACATGCTGCATGGCCGGGGAGGAGGAGAGCCGGGAGAGGGCGGGCTCTACTCGGGCAGCTGGGAACAGGACATACTGCATGGCGGGGAGGAGGGGTTCTGCTCCGGTGGCTGGGAACGTGTGTGGCACAGTGGCACACATCCAAACCAGCACACATGACCTCAATACTTGTGCACAAGCCAAAACTCACTCCGCTCACGGTTGGAAAAATCTTAGAGGGAACACTGCTCCACACTGTACGAGTTGGTGCAGGTTATTTTTGTGTGAATATGGGTACATGTGCACACACAGCACTGTATTAGAAGTTCAGCAAGGACCTCCAGATCCGAAAGGCATGAGGTTCTATAGTCAATGCTAAAACTTTAGTACAGATAGGTAGGAGAGGGTATTTGCTGTGCTTAGAATGTTACAAATCATTAAGATTCAACTCCAGAAGTGGCCCCTTGGAAATGTACAGTTGATGTACTTTCAGAAGAGAAAGAAGGTCTTGTGGTTAAAGCACAACAGCAGATCCGGGCTCTATTCCTGTCTGCCAGAGACTTCCGGCATGACTATGGGCTAGTCCCTTAAAGGGATACTGTCATCCTGAAATCTAGTCTCTTGAAAAAAGGAAAGAAAGATAGTTTCAGGTTCTATGCCTGAGCCTGAATTTCCTCACCAGGTTTTATGGGTTTTACAACAACATCATTTTTATATTTAAAAATAATTACTCTTCATTACTGCAGTGTAATAATATACAAATCTCCCTCTCATATTATATATATAGAGAAATATAAATATAATAAACAACATGATAAACCTTTCCCCCTCTCTAATGCCCGTCTATCCTTCATTTTCCCCTACCACTCAGAGAAAGGCCTGAGTAGGATCCATACTTTCCCAGAGTGGGAGTCCCTGGCTCTTGGGGCTTGGCTTAGGCCCATTCATAGATTTAGGCTCCGCCTCTTTAACTATCCTTTCCTTTAAGGATCCATACCAGGAGTGCTTCTTGATGCAAAACTACATTTTGCCAATCTAAAAGGTTGGGGCATAAGTGACTATGTCAATGCAAAAATTCTGTCAACATTACCACATCTATACTGGAGATTAGGTCACTCTAACTAAGGTGTTGAGGGCACAACATTTTTCACAGTCCTGAGACCAAGCTAGGACAATCTAATTTTTAAACGCAGACCATGCCTAAGTGACTTTCATGATGTCACATGGAAAGCCTGTGATGGAGCAAGGTATTGAACCCTTGTCTCTCAAGTCCTGGATTAGAGCCATCACCACTAGAACACCCTCTCTCAAGCCCCCAGAGGGATAACCTGCTGCCACCTACAAACGAACCCCATAGCCAGCAATTTTATGACCTAATGCTACATAAAAAGTGCCGAGTGCTCTGAGTTTCCTTTGCCTTAATGAGAGTTTGAGATGCTCAGTATCTCACAAAACCTGGCCCCTAGCACACTTAGAGCATCTTCACACCATAACAGCAATTGAATTAAGGAATCCCATTACATCACGATTGTTCCATAACCCAGTTACAGCTGGGTTAAGAACGGTTTCAGTGATGGGGCTTTAAAGATGTTACAAGATTGGTTTAAAGCTTTGGACTTGAACATGCATAAGGCCCAGAATGCACTTACAAACAGAAGTTGTAACCAACTTGGGTGGTGAGGTAGGATAGTCAACCCTGAGTTGTGGTAGTCAAAGACAGGCCTTTAGAGAACCACCTCCGACCTTCTGGCAACACAAGGTTGCTGTGAGGGGAGATGCTAAATGTTTTCAGATAGACTTCCCAAGCTTCCAAAACACGAAGATGTCTTCTTGCCCTCTCCTCTGTAACACGAAAGTGGGTTGTTCCAGGATATTATAAGCCCTGGGCTATAGAAGATCCCAAGTGGGGATCTGGACACTAGAGTACCGATACTTTGCCTTTACAGTTTTGCTAATTTTTAAAACTTTTTTGGGAGAAACTTAATTTTTATTAGCTTAATTCTCAGAATGCCAGCAGCAGAGATGGGATCTGAGCAAGGAAGTAATGGTAGCTCAGTTACAGGGTTCCAGAAAGGTGCTCTAAATAGGGAGGGGACTGTGAAAAAAGGCACAAAGGTGGAAACAGCAGAAGGAAATAAAGGGTGTGTCAGACAGTAGCACTGACTGAGCCAAGAGTGTTTGGGAGAGAAGGGAGAGAACATGCAGGGAGTTCGGAGGCAACTTGGGAGTTCTAGGGCAGGGCTGAGTGAAAACCAGACAGGGCCAATGTGAGGTTAAGTACCATGAGAAAGTTAAGTGGTTAGGTACCATGTTTATGTTGTGAGAAAAATAAACCAGAAATTGATATTCATTGCTAGAAGCACTTTGGTCTCACTCAGAGAGAACCATTTGAGGACGCTAATGTGTGCTTGGTAGAGGAGGTCAGGACTATGTAGTTTGGAGAGATCTCTAAGATGCCTGATGGCCGCAGGTGAAAAAGTCAGGGGAAGGGTACCAGATCAAAACAAATTCCAAAATAAAAATAATTGCACACGCTCTCAGAAAATATCTGAACTAGGTGAGTAACCTGTTATTGCTGGGTTATTTCCAGAGAACACCTCTCAAGCATGTAGTAATTCAGACAATCCACTTATAAAAGAACCCAAGAGCTCAGACCAGAGACGGAGAGGGAATGTGTGGTTCTAATTAAGCAGTGTTCCTTGACAGGTAGCAGCCAAGGCATCTGCTAATGGCAGGGATCAAAGGTATTGCAAAACGGCACTTAGCTGCCAGCAAGACTTAATTAAAGAGTGATCTCCCTTTGTATTTGGTGTGGCTTGTTTCTGAATGGCTTTATTTGAATTTAAACTTGAGAGGTGTTTCAACACAAAACTGTCACCCGCATTACAGCTGGTTTGCTATGGTTGCAACAGGCACTGCTCTGGAGTCTCATTATGTCCTACTAATACTAATACAGATACGCAGACTATGTCAGTCTGGAGTGGCTGATCGTGAAAATTAACCTAAACATGTTTCCACCGTGTTGGGTGAGTGTCTCTGCTCCCCACACCTAATGTCTGCTTCTCTGCCCATTCTCTCTGCCATTACTAACAATGTCATCCTCCCAGTCCCTTGGGTCCTCAAGCTCAGTGGCACCTCTGACTCTGCTCTCTCTATAGCCGCACACATGCAGGCAATATCCAAGTCTTGCCTGCTCTTCCTCCTCCACAACCACTGCACAATCCAGACTTTTCTCTCTGTCCACATCTGCAACACTCTCATCCAAACCCTTATGTCCTGACTCAAGTACTATAACACTCCTATTGGCTCAGGCTTAAGAGAGATTTGCCAGGTATCGTGTCTGCTCACAGACCACAATATCCTGGCTAACATCTCAGAAGAGGTACAGTGCTCAACTCTCCACTTTCTTACACCAGTGTGAATCAGGAGAAACTCCACTGCACTCAAAGAGAATCAAGCACAGTCACTAATGTTCAATACTTCTCTAGGCTTAGTGTTTGCAATATATCAAGCAGAGTAGCAGAAAGAATCCCTGTCGAAGAGACATGGGAAACATTTATTGAACACTTACCTTATTGTCATTTTTTTGAGTGACTTCAAAGACTTTGTCAGCTGGTTCAATTGAGCATGGAGATGTGCTGCTCCCTCTGGGGAAGAACTCTTAATCACCAGCTGACCATGAGCCTCAACAAGATGTGCTTGGATCTCCTTATCCGGGAATTCAGCTAGCAGCCCCTGAAATTCACACACTCAGTCACTTCCAGGTGTCATAGCTACTTCTGAAGTTTTACCACCATGCGTGGTATCTGTGTCCAATGAAGGGCTATGTTCAGCCTTGGATTATGCTGGTTTCTCTTGGCGTTACCCTATTTACAGTTCCCCAAGATCTGTGAGGTGTTCTTGCAGGTAGCTAGCAAGCCCAAGAAGTGGGTTGCTCAGAGTTAGGGAAGAAGTGTAGCTAGCATGCCTCTGTTGCAGCATCCACTGTGGGACTTCTCTGAAGCCCCCAGTGGAAATTAAAGCTGTTGCTTCCCACTGAAGGGCTAATCAGCCCAGGGAGGCACAGGCAGTGTAAACCACCAGTATGAGTGAACCTAGATGCAAATTACTTCCATGGACGGAAAAATGAGCAATTGTGGGAAAGGAGAAGTTTTCACTTTGGCACACAAATGCAATGTAGGATAAACTAATAGAGTACCACAGCATTTTAATGTTATACTTCTGTATGTCTGGAGAAACTAGGGATGTTTAGCTAATTAACCATAACATATCAAGTAGTTGATGGAATTTTCATCAACTACTTGATTAGTCATTAATGGGGGGTTCCCTACCACCGCTGCAGCTCTGCATTTTAAATATAGTAAGACCTACTAGGCTCTTACTATATTTAAAGTGCAGAGCCACAGAGGGGCTATGTCTAGACTGCAAGCCTCTTTCGAAAGAGAGCGTCTAGACTGCACACGGAACTTTCGAAAAAGCAAGCCGCTTTTTCGAAAGAAAGCACCCAGTGAGTCTGGATGCTCTCTTTCGAAGAAGCCCTATTTACATTCAAGAACACCTTCTTTCGAAAGAGCACTTTCGAAAGAAGGCGTTCTTCCTCGTGAAATGAGGTTTACTGCCGTCGAAAGAAAAGCCGCGTTCTTTCGATTAAATTTCGAAAGAACGCGGCTGCAGTCTAGACGCAGGTGAAGTTTTTTCGGAAAAAGGCTACTTTTTCCGAAAAAACCCCTGAGTCTGGACACAGCCAGGGGTTAGCGCCTGGGGGCAGCGTGAGCCAGGACTAAACAGTCCCAGCTCGTGCCAGCTTTGGGATTGCTGTGGGTCTGCACTTCAGATGTAGAAAGAGCCCAGCGGCTCTTACTACATTTAAAATGCAGAACTGCAGTGACAGTAGTGAGCACCCCACCTTAATCGACTGTTCAATTCTGGCTGGTGCTGCTTCCAAGAGAACCCCACAGCGGCTCTGCAGCCTATGCTTATCAGTTGACTACTCGAGTAGTCGCTTACATCCCTAGGAGAAACCACCCTGATAGGAGGAACGGAATTCACATTCAAGACTGGATTTTCCTTTAAGGTGTCTGCAGACATTTCAACAGAAGCTTGATGCTTCTTTCACCCTAACCAGCCAGATCATCATGCACTAATCATAGAGCAGTCCAGCTGGGAATTAGCAGGCCAGACTTAGGAAATATCTGTTGTCCAGTTTACACAAGAAATGTAAATGAAATGGAACCCAGGGGAATGCACCTCTTCCCCTGAACATCCACCTACTACGTGGATCACAAAAGCAAATGGATGATGCCATCATACGTCAAAATGTGTCCCCCACCTTCAAGTCTGCGACTCTGCTCTCTGTTTTCCTTTCCCCACTGGCATCCTGATAGGATTCCAACTTCTGTTCAGTCATTGTGATCCACTGCTGAAGGTCTGACAGTTTGTTATTGAACGTCCAATGTTCTTGAACATGCTTCTCAGTCTGAACCAGCATGATCTAAAAATATCAGGAGAAAACAAAACACATGAATAACAGCGCACAGAGAGCAAGTTTCACTAGAGAGACCATGGGGATGGGTACTATAGAAACACAAAGATATGAAATAAAAATATGGAGGAAAGGCAGAAGCTCCAGTTTAGCTGTTTAGTACCATGCTATGGAATGTCCTTAAGTGGGTAAATACTAGCTCCTGCAGATCTGAGCTTAGCCACATGGTGGGGCAGTATGTATTAGAATGGCTTCCCAGTTTACAAACGACTCAAGGAGAAAAATTCTATATTTTGCATCGATACTAAGTACTTTACCCTCCTCACTTTGAATGCAAAATCACACTATATACAATAAAAGGAGAGAAGCCATATAGTATTTTTCCAGGTAAAAGCACCATTTTAGTGATCCAATTGTTATAAAAAAACTACAATTGCCTAGCATTTTAGACTCAAACTTTATTATGGATAGTTTTTAGTGGCATAGCAAACCAAGAGAATTTTACAAAAATCTCTGTTTTAGGAGGGAAGATTTTTATAGATGCCCTTACAAGCAACAAAGTTCTGTACTTTTCATCAGTCTTTGATGTAACTGCAGTGGCTTTGGACCATTAACATTTAAGTTTACAAAGTGTATATGATAAACCTACCAGACAAGCCAGTATTAAATTCTTAGGTAGCAAATCAAATTGTGTGAGCCTAAGCCAAAAAAATCTGGACACTCGGGAATGGATTCAGTCCCAAGGGGTGAGAAGACTCATGCTGCACAAAGGAGACTTTCCAAACCAAACAAGCAGTAGTGTTTAAAAACATAAGAATGGCCATACTGGGTCAGACCAAAGGTCCATCTAGCCCAGTATTCTGTCTTCTGAATGTCTTCAGTCCCAGAGGGAACGAACAAAACAGATAAATATTAAGCGATCCACCCCCTGTTGCCCATTCCCAGGTGAACAAAACAGATAAATATTAAGTGATCCACCCCCTGTTGCCCATTCCCAGGTTCTGACAAACCTAGGGAAACCATTCCTGCCCATGCTGGCTAATAACCACTAATGGAACTATTCTCCATGAATTTATCTAATTATTTTTTGAACCCTGTTATTTTCCTGGTCTTCACAACATCCTCTGGGTTATAGACTCAAAAGGAAGTCTATCCACTCCTCACAACATGTCTGAAAACAGAAAATTTATCATTTAATTATTCTGGCATAGTTAAAGTCATACAACCTCCCCTAGTATGGACATGGTTATATTGGCATAAAAGGTCTAATTCTGGTATAACATTCTCATAAAGAAAGAAATATACTGGTACAAAGGTGCTTTAGAGCAGTATGGTTTAACTACATCTACTCTAGGGGTTGTACCTTTATAAACTATATTTTATACTTCTCACAACCAACATATTTATACCAGTACAATCTACCGGTATCCTCAATTGTTACGATGATTAAATTGTAGGTTAGGGAAGATTAAAACAAAGAAAACTGGGAAATCTTTAAAGATTGATCAAGGCCATAAGAACTTAAAAAGCAGATATTATGATAATGTGAAAAGATAATTTTTGTAGCTGCCACTTTAAATTCTTCACTAAATTTTGAGTTACCTCTAGAGATCTCTTCAGTGTCTGACAGTCAGATGAAAGCTGGTTCATTTTATGTCTGTGGGTGGGATTCGATTGAACTAGATTCTCCAGCTCTTCCATTTGAACTATAAACTCTGCCAACTCTTCTTGGATCATCTACAGAGTAAGAGAAAAACTGTACTTACATACTGAGCATTGATTCTGCAGTTGGTTCCATTTCACAGCATGAGACATCTTCCAGAAAAATCACTAATTTTAAGCAAATTAATTTTTGATGCCTGGAACTGAAAATTTCAAAAAGTAGCCAGCAGGCATTCAGATGTCTTCACAGCTGATTATGAATAAACCGAGAGATAGCATGCTTGCAGCTATCAGGACAATCAAAGCACCACAATGGTACAAAAGCACCAAAATAGCTGCAAAAAAGGGATTGATTTTGCTGTCACTAAGGCCGTGTCCATACTAAAAAAAAGTGAATCTATGTGACTAAGGAGTGTGAAAAGTCCCAATTCCCAATCCCAATTCTTATCACTGTGACATCAGAACCAAGCTGTGTAAGATTACAGAAACAAAATCTACCTCTTCCCTCTAACCCTGCGCCCCGCAGTATTTTTGACATTAATAAAATATGCATTTTGCCCAGAAGGAAAATAACCCAGTCATGCCATCTGTTAACAGGGGCATAATTAACATGCAGGTAGCATAGATAACTATCATTGTAACATACCTGTAGTCTCTGGAGTCGTGTTTCTTTACCTAAAAGATCAGGTAGTGGTTCATTCTCTAGATCTACTTTGGTTCTGATAGCGGATAACAACTTTTGCAGAGGTACAAAGGCTGCATCAAAGTCTTTATGCTGAGTTACCAAACTCTAGGCAAAAAGAGCAAAACAGCACTCAACAGAACTACAGTTATATTATTTTGTCAGTGTACATGTGACACTGAGCAAATAAGCAGCTGCCCTGCACAGTAATCCGTGTTTCTATTATCAATCTACAAAATGCATCAGACATAGTGGGTTAGTATAAGGGAATGTATTTATAAAAAATTGGATTCATAAAAGATTCATCATAATCTTTAGCATGGATATTAAACAATGAATAGATCTCGAAGTGAACTTAATATGAACTGCTTACCTGCAGTCTGCTTTTCCTTTGCAGCAGACTTTTGTGCAGAATCTCTCTTTCCTTTGCAGCATTGGTTACCTCTGCCAAAACAGCCTTTGCTCTTTCCTCACTGAAGATACTGCTTAGCAAATCCTTCTTCAGCTGTAACATCACCAACTGCTCCTTGAACTGGGAGCTCTCAGCCAGGCATGCCTACAGGAGAACAATTCTTCTAGTGAAATCATAACACTAAGAGCTACAGGAGCAGATCAAGGCTCAGGTAAAGGCTCAGAAAAACAGCAATGCCATGACTGTAGGACAAAAGCAGCTAAAACATAACTGCAATAACACAAGAGTGGCTAATCTGCAACTTGCCAGAACCCCTTCAGCGGCACCTATTTTTAAAAATAAATGGAGCTGATTGCCATCATCTTCAACCCTAACATGGCGATACGGCCCAATGGCTCAGCTGAAGGCTGGCTCCTCACCTCAAGGTGAATTATTGTTTGCTGGAACCTGCTGTGTACAACCCTGTAAGGAGGAAGCTGTGGGCAACACTGCAGGGCTCTGTGGGCCTACCCCAATCCTGGTATACAGATGACTCAGGATGCTATACCACAAACTGCATCAGGAAAGCGTAAACTCTGCTCACAATATTTCTTCTATAGAAATTGGCTTGCTGCTTTTTTTCTAGTTCTGCAGCTGCTTTGCTGGCCTGTTTGAAGGAAGCCTACTGAGCTACATGGTACAGGACATGAAATTATCTTATCAGAGTCATGATTCTGCTTGATCCCCATTTATATAAACATTTACTTCAGAAATCCAAGGAGCGAGGCTGTCACTATCCCTACTCAACTCATGGGTGCAAACATCAATTATGTCTCTTAATACTTTTATTATATTTTAGTATTTATTTGGAACCTGGACCCCTTAAACTCTATTCATCTGAAGAAGTGGGTTTTTGTTGTTGTTTTCGTTAGTCTCTAAGGTGCTGCAGGACTATTTGTTGTTTTTAAGGGTTTTTTAAAATGGTAATATAGTTTAGTGATTAACAGAGTCCTCAGATGTCCTACCCAGATGGATGCTGGGTTACTGCCTAAGGCAATAATAATCATACCAGCACTTAGCTCTTATATAACACACTTATGTAACATTCTTTATTCAACAGGCAACTCTAGCTCACGAAATAGAATGCTCATATTGAATGCGATTTTGGTACAGTTAGTGAAGATGTTGGTCTGAGATTCAGTAGTGTGCTATTTCCTACAGTAACTGGAAACCGTTCTCAGTTGCTGCTGTCAGATGCGCAGTGCAAACAAGATACTGGCTTCCTAACTTAACTGCAACTCTCTACCTCAATCTGAAGTAGGAAATCATGAGTCTGTGAGGGCTCAGCTGCATTCGCTGTGGAGTCCAGAAGTCTCTGAATGGATGGCTTCCACAGCTGGAACGCTCGTAGTGGATTTTGAAAACGCTGCCCGAGTTCACTTTCAGCCTCAGTGCTCATTTTAAATGTCTTTCCCTTGACCCTGCAAGAATAAGCAGACAACGGAGAGAATGATTCGAGTGAAATCTTAGGTTAAACATGCAATTCACTGAGGGATAAAATAAAACAATCTTGTGTCCGCTCCATGTAACATGAAGGGCCTCCGTTTTCCTCTTGTGTACTCCACTACACCTGGCTTTGTCCACACTTTACTGGACAACTGCCTCTGCCAGTCACACCTCCAACAAATCCTGCTTAGTACAGAGGGACCAATTTATCTCTGCTGCCACTGCACTGAACTCAGCAGAGTGTACCAGAGACGAAATCTGGCCTTGAAGCTCCAATGCCAAACAAACAGTCTCATTGTGCTCAATTTGGTATCTTCAATATTATCCCCCAAGTAAGATCAAAGGCACAAAGTGGCTGGTGGATGGAAGACACAAGCCATGCATGTACATTTCAGAAAGCTAATATGTAGCTGCACCCCCCTGTAGCATTTATACATAAAGGGGTGAAAAGGGAATTTTGGTCCATTTTTCATTTAAAAAAAATGAAGTTTTTTTTTTAACACACAAAAACAGTTTGATAACTCAAAATGGCCCAGACTAAAGGAGAACACAAATACATTTTCCTTGCCTTTCATTTTAAATTTCCTAATCTTCTTAGAATCATTTGTGCATGTCAAGTAAAGTCAGTGGATAAATTTAAATAGCAAGCATTCATTAGACTAATAAATGGCTTAAATCTTCAAGTTCCCAATATGAAGGCTGGTCCTAAATGCTAGGAGCTGTGAGAGTAACTTTTAAGGAATGTATGCAGTTCCCTTCCTGGTGACAAACCCTTATAGTTACATCCTACTTCCCTATGCTTTCCTGAGTTTCCATCCCACTGGATCTTGAAGCAGAAACAGCTTTTGATATAAAGTTTACACATAAAAGGAAATATTGTCCTGTTAAGACACAGGATTGACTAATAAAAAGAGATCAACTCCTAGTTATGCCACAGATTTCCAGTTCAACCTTGGCTAATTTCCTTTTTCTGCATCTGCTTCCCCCTCTGAGAAATGGAGAGATACTAGTTAGCTATATCATGTGTCACAGGAGGTTTTGCAATTAGTTTAGTTTCCTGAGGGCCCTGAAATCCTCAGATGGAAATCTCTGTTATTACTTGTTTTGCAGTCCTCCACCAGCAGCACGCTGTGATTTTGCCACGCTTTGCAAAGCAGCAGGATTTGGAGGAAAAGCTGGCAGCTTGATTTCTGATCAGAGTCATTTTTAAGGATTCTACATTTGTTCTTCATTGGAAAAAAAATCCCAGTGTTTCATTTTTTAAAATTTGAATTGCTTGCTTTTTTGGATCCATTTTATTCCTCCTTAGCTAGCACAGTCCTATCTAGGGATAGGAAAACCAGTTTAGACCAAAAACAAAACAAAACCAAAACAACAACAAAAACTGACCTTTTTCCTCTCCCAGACTGATCCTTTCTTGAAGTTTGCTAACTGCAGCCTTCAAACTTCCTGATTCCAGCCAGCCTGGAAGCGGAAGTGCTACAGCACAGGGAGAGGCTAGATTTGTAATGTTTCCAATCCAAAAATGGAAGCAGGAAACAGGAGGCACGTTGTTGGGAGAAGGTGGAATAAGCCCTGCCAGATAACTGGGAGGGGAGTGATTCATCAAAACAATCCTCCCAAAAAAACCCATGTGCACTCTGCAGTAGTTCTGCCATACCATTTACAACTACAGTTCCTAGCCTGATTTTTAGTTATGATGAGGAAAAGAAAGCAAAAAAAATAAAAATATTGATTCTCCAAAGTTAAAACAAGCAGTCCAGGCAAATATTTCATCTAGTGAATAGACAATACAGCAAATGAGTGATCCAAGGTCCAGCAGACAAAGAATCCATGTTCCAAACCATTATGGAGGTTGAGAATATACTGTCCAGACAGCCACATCTTCCCATTACATCAGAGAAACCACAAAGATCAGTTTCCTTTAGTATTTTAACACGTAAATAGCTGATCTTGCTCCCACTGAGATCAAAGGCAAAATTCCTACTCATCTCAATGGAAGTGGGTTGGAATTTTCTAGCACTCAGAATTCAGGTCAAATTTGTGAAAGTATCCAGCACCCAGCAGCTTCTATTGCAATATGATTCACTAGAAAGTCAAAAGAGGTCAGCATCCAATGTGAGCTAAGCTCTTCTGAAAATCTGGCCATTTATTTTGGTGCCTTAATGGGAGCTGAGCTTTTCTGGGACGTCTCCCGTGAGTCAATGCTTCTCAGAAAGGTTCCAGGAACAGGTAATTCTGGCAGCAGCCAACCAAGCCAGGACAGACCAGTCCTGTCCACAGCAGAGCCAGCAGCAGGACCTCATGGCTGCAGCTGCAGGGGCTGGGCAGCGGGTGCGGGACCTATGTTAAAATAGCTGACCACTTATATGCTATCATTTAACTGGTTAACTGTTTATACATCCCTACTCCACAGGCCTTGCTGATCCATTGAGACATTCAGTCCCCAGTGAAGTTTTGTGTTAAATGGCTAGCTTGTCTCACCTGATTCCCCATTCATACCTTTGATATTCCTGTAGTGCAGCTACAACGCCATCAGAAAGCGGTTGTGTATTCTGTGAAAACTGGAACAACTCCTTAATCTGAGCCTTCAGCCTCTCAACCTTTGATTCTTCGGTCAAAAGTGCTGCTCTTGTTGCCTTAAGCATAAAAATAAGGAGCAGTTTGCATTATGAGCACAAAACCTGGAACATGAAATGTATAGACTATGCTGAATCTAGGAGATAGTCAAACTATTTGCTGCAAAAAAAGGAGTCACATAGCACTTTAAAGACTAACAAGATGGTTTTAGGGTTGCCAGGTGTCCAGTTTTGAACCGGACAGTCCGGTATTTGAGGGTTCTGTCCGGGAAACAAATTGAGAAAATACCAGACATATAAACTGTCCGGTATTTTCTAATTAGGTAAGTTTATTATTATTAGGAGTATCAGTGCGTAGTTGTGAACTGCTTGGCTGGTAGACATCTCATGCTGCGTGAGTATGTCTACCAACCAGGCAGTATGCAACTACATGAGGGAGAGGCGGGGCCAGGATGGAATCCCCGGGGCCAGACTCGTTCCTGCTTTGCCGGGACCATGCACGGGACGGGCAGCGCCCCGGAATCTGCGTGCGCCCGGGTGAGTCCCGCTCTCCGTCGGCCAATTCTCTCCCCTCACTCCCCTCCTGGCCAGCCCTGCTTCCCACCGGCCGGTTCTCCCCCCCTCCTCTTCCTGATCTCCCCCAGCCAGCACTGCTGCACCTCTCCCCGCCCCTGCCAGCTCTGCTTCCCGCCCCCCCCTCCTCCCCCCGCCCGCACTCACCCCC